ACAATGCACTGTTTTCGTTAAAAAATGCCGCCAGAGGGGTCGATTGATCGATGATCAAATCATCGATCCACTATATGTGCTCAAGTATCAAGGGGTCGCAGCCGGCCTAAATAGCCTCCAAGCATCCAGAAACAAGGCACGGTGTTATCTTAATCTTCATCTTCCTCCTCCATCGCCACTTCTCCTTTCGGGTCATGGAGGCAGCCGTGTCAGACAGAGCTTCCAACGTTCCCGATCCTGTGCCAGAGTCTGAGTTTCGGCAAAAAACAAACGGAGTCTGGAACAGATTCCTTCCACATATTTACACCAGGTTAATCTTGGCCGTGCCCATAGGCCTTCTGCCGGTCGGATTCTCAAGAAAGAGTTGCTTAATCTTCCTTTCTGGAGGCATTCGCAACACATGGCCAAACCATCGCAGCTGTGATTTCTCAATCTGGAGAAGCAAAGGCTGCACATCAAGGTTCTTCCGGATGTCACTATTCCAGACCATGTCGACATGCGTAAGGCCAGCGACTCGTCTAAGAAAGCCCATTTCAGCAACTTGTACCCGGGTTCGAAGTTTTTCAGTGATGGTCCACGACTCATGACCGTAGGTAAGCATGGGGATAAAGTTAGACTTGAACAGCGAGAGCGTAGTTTTCAAACTGAGCTCTGCTTCAGTCACAATAGATCGGGCCAGTTCACCCAGAACACCACTGGCTACTCCAATTCGCTGGTCGATCTCCTACTCCAATTTTTCATCACTAGTAAATACAATTCCGAGGTACTTAAACTTCTCCACCTACTCAACTGCCTCTCCGTTAATCTGAAGAGAGCAACGGGCAAGAGAATGAGAAAGCACAGGCTTTTCGTTTTAGACGCGTTCACACGCATGCCGGTCACGTCGCACTCGGCTGCGAACCTTTCTAAGGAGCAGTGAATATCAGTTTCAGAAGATGTTAATAAAACAAGGTCGTCTGCAAACAGCAACCTGCTCGACTTCACATCTCCTACACCAGTACCCTCATCACCTTGGCAGCGCCTATTCTATCCATGTACAACACAAACAGGATAGGGGACAGGACGCAGCCTTGGCGGAGACCGGTGCGAAC